TTCTGTGGTGTACACAAGTACTCAGGTCAATATTGGCATGAAGTCAGAGGAGAGCATTAAACTGCTTCCTTCATGTACAGGCATGTCCAGTAACTGCTACAGTGGCTTTCACAAGTCCCTGACCAGTTACTCTGTCCAGGTATTCTTGTTTTCTGGATATAACAAGCCAACCTGACACTGCCTGCTTCTGGCACGCTCACAGGTGTGCTGTGAAGCTCCCTCCCTTCAGGGATCCATTATAATATCACAAATAGCCAAGTGGTGGAGAGATAGAAGCCCAGTTTACAGTCCCTCAGTTCTATCAACTGCAAGTCACCAGTTGTTTAAGCACGTACTGAAGCACACTGCTGTTCTCAGAAGAACTCTTATAAAACATTTGACTTCCCAAGCAGACAAGCTACATTCAAAAAGCCCTTTGCCAGCCAGCCAAGGGTGTTACTGCCTCTGCCACTTGCAGGCTCTGGAGGAAGGAGGATGTGACCCACCTGACCTTGCCTTGCCATGAGCAATTTGTGGTCTAAGACTCAATGAACGTGCACCTCCCTTACACATCTCATTATCTATGAGGTTATATTACTAGACTAACTTGAGATATGAGTTAAAAAGCCACAGATCCTACATCCACCTCTCCTAGGACAGTGTCCCCAGCACCATAACGTGCCTACAATGTCATTCCAAGCTCTGGCAACAGTCAGTGAACAGCTGTAAGCAATCAATGCGTGTGTGGGAGATAACATGACATGTTAACTCACATAGAGCCCTCCTCTGACAGTACCAGGTTACTTGAATTTCTATTTTCCTCACTGCAAGTTCTCAGGATTGGACCAGTGCATTTTACAAACCACTTACTTAATAAGCCCAGTTTTAACTCCTAGTTTTTACAACTAACTGCTACTCAACACTTCATACCACCGAGAAGAAATAAGACACAGAAAGGTACCGACTCCTAGAAATCTCAGAAGTTACTCCAAATTAACCACAGGAGAGAATCCCAAGAATTCAAATCTGGCAACCTTTAAAATGACATGAGCACGACTAACCACAGCACGTGGCAGCCGATACCTCTACACCCCTTAACATCACTTGTGACAAATTACCTTTAGCACTGGTGCTGGCAAGCAGGAGTGTGAAAGCAGAACCAGGGCGCAGCAAGAGGCCAGCAGAAGTCCATCACTTAACTGCAAAAGAAAGACAAACCTAATGACACACAGAAAGGATAAATTTTCCCCCGTGAAAAGGACAAATAATGAAAAAATAAACACATATTGTTTTCCGGCAAATAAAACTTGAATTGTGGGTTGCATAAGTAGGGATAAGTTATGTAAGCTTTAGTTTAGTTCCTGGAAAAATAATAGAGGAAGTAATGGGTAAAATATGTTTATAGTCGGACAATGGCAGTGGCAGAGTGAGGAAGCAAGAATGCAGCCATAAAGCCATGGCTAATATTTGTCTGGGGCATAAATAATCCATCCAGTCGAACATTGCATAGCCCTAAACTCAAACCCTCCTCCATTTCTCAGCCCGTTTACACAAAGGAGAAACTCCAGGTGGTACAGGGGCAGTAAAAACATCCCAAGTGCACGTGGGAGCACGTGTTCCCCATTGCTGGGAGGAGGCAGCAGTGGGGTGCTCTTCCTACCACAGCCCAGAGCATTATTACCACCACCAAATCCGCAGCTCCAATATCCCTGGTGCCTTGCACCCATTTGTTTTGGAGCACATCACCCCTCAACCCCTGCTCAGTCTGGCAGCACTCACGTTTTCCAGGGTTCCTCTCCCAGCCTATCTCTGCCTCCCACATCAGGGCTTTGAAAGCCCCATGGGCTCCAAGATCCCTGCAGCTCCTGCCTGGTAATGGATATTTTGGAGCCCATCCTGGTGGCTGGACCCTCCCTTGGCTGCCTGCTTTGGCCACCTCAGCACACAGAAAATCCCACTTCTTGGCAGGCACAGAGTGAGGTGTGCAGAGGGAAAAGAGGGACAATACCTACACTTATGGATCCCCAGGGAAGAGCAGCAGGGAGCTCTTTACAAAGGGAATTGCAAATGGGTCCTGTGCCCTGCTGTCAGTGGCTGGGGTGGGGGATGCATGTGAGGACTCACTGCCAACCACTGTAGTCTGGGCAGACACTGGCACAAGACACCAAAAGCCTAATACAAGGTAGCCCCTGCCCCAGAACTGCTAGCCCAGCACCAGCATGGCTGGGCTCCCAGTTATTTAGGATGCTCTGTGCCCCAGCCACCCTCCAGACTGATCCCAAACCCTCAGCATCCCCAGGTTAGGTTAGGCACCCACACCCCTAGTCTTGCACAGCCCTGGGGGGTTGATTCCAGCTATACTTACCTCTTTGTGTTAATAGCCTTTCACTTCCTGCTGCTCCTACACCCTCCTCCCTGCTATTCCCTGCGGAATGGGAAGGACTGTGGGCAGGACATGGAGCTCTTGAGAGAGCAAGGGCTCATCTCCCTTTCCTTTGGGCACCTGAGGTTTCATGGCCCAGGTGCCAGTCGACTCTTTCAATTCACACATTCAGCTTCCAGCCAGGTGTAACTCCTTTGCAGCTCCTCTGCTTCCTCTCTCAGGGGAACAGAAGCCAAAGGAGTTATCTCCTCTGGGGTTTTGTTCTTTTTCACCTGGGAATCCCATACAGAAAAGCATCGTGGTCCTATCATTTACCCTGCAGCCCATTTGCTGTGGAGCCCATTTATTTAGGTTTGTGAGTCCTAAAAACCCTGAGCACTGTGGGGGTGCTCAGCCACAGCCTCCTGCAGCTCCCCCCTCTTTTTTGAAGCTGGCTATGCCCTGCTGCTCCCTGCCCAGACAGAAAAATTCCACCATGGGGTGGCCTTGTCCCCTGGCACCAGTGGCACAAGTCACTGCTGACCAAATGAGGACTGCCCTCACCTCAAACCCCAGAGCTTTTGCTACACAGCACAGGAGGCTTTTCACTCAAACCTTAAAACGAGAGAGGCTGATGCTCATGTGAACCCTCGTGTGTGTGCTGGGTGTAGGGACACGTGGGCAGGAGGCAGCAGCCAGGTTTGTGAGTGCTTTAATTGCCCTCAGGAATTGCTTGGTGTGGAGCTGGCACTGGCTTTGTAACCCACTTTCCAGAGGAAACCCAGCACACGTGATGTTGGTGCTCAGCCTGCGAGTTGTTCAGCTCCTCTCCTCCTGCACTGCTTCGGCCCCCTCCTGTCCCACTTGGTCTATTCTATCCTACTCATTTTTAACAAAAATTATCAGAGGGTGAGCTGTGAATTGGTCTGAATCCTGGCAGGCCTTGCAAAAACTAACGGGAAAGTGTGGGATGGGCAAGGAGGAGGATGGAGGGGCTTGAACCGTCCTGGACGAGGGGGAGGAGGGCTGCAGAGCCAGGCTGTGTGTGTGGGCAGCACAGTGCTGCCTGCCCGCCTGTGCCTGGCTTGATGCCACCTCTGCCAGGTGAGGATGCAGGACAGGGTGTGATTGGCACGGGTGGGGGGGCAGCAGAAAGGGAGGGGACACAATGAGATAGGATGGAAGGGGACAGGAAAGGACAGGATGGGATGGAAGATGGAGAACGGGCTGCTGGATAGGATAGGGGACAGGATGGAATAGGATGGGATGTGAGGAGATAGGATGGAAAGGAAAGGATGCCCAGATGGATATCTGCAGCCCTTGGACTACTCCTGCCCACCCCTCCCTGGCCACACACCATCATCCTTTAGCACAGGGGGGCTGTCACCTGCACTGGCAGGGGGACGGGGGCAGCATGAGGGGCAGGTGGGAAATGGGGGACAGCCCTCACTCCCCCTCAGTATTTGGGCAAGTTTAAAAATTACCGAGCACAGAAGGGGAGCAGGATCCGAAGGAGAAGGATGAATCAGCTTGTCAAACGACTCTGGTGGCGTCAGCCCAGGATTATTAGTGTTTGTATGCAGAGAGAGCTCTCCTGCACCAAGGCTGCTCCCTGCACAGAAGCATCTTCTCTCCTCCTCCTCCTTTCTCCTCCTCCATGCCAAAGGGAAAATGATGTAAGGTTGGTTGGTTCTTTTTTTTTTTTTAATTTTTAAAAATGTTTTCTAGCCAGCTTCCCAAATCATCTTTCTCATCCCAGGCACAGAAAGTAAAGCTGAGACACAGCACAGCCCTGGCCTCCTGCAAACCCTACCAGGCTGGTTGAAGAGCACCTTCAGGGCCAGGGCTGTGCCAGTGCAGCACACAGGGAAACTTTCCCCTGGGAAACCTGCTCAGGATGCCATAACAAATAAAAAAACCCCAGGTATCCAAATTGCAGCCAAGATCCTCTGGGCAAGGAGAGGGGAGGCTGTGTCACAAGCCAGGGCATGCTTCCCTGCTTCTCCATCAGGACCCACTGTTTAAAATTTAGGACCCACAGCCCAGTTGGAGTTCCAAGATTTGGGCTGTTGTTTGTTTTTTGGTTTTTTTCAGATGCTGAAGAGCTCTTGCAGGGTAGCCACTTGCCACGAAGGAAGATGTGGGGTCCAACTCCCCGCCCAGGAGCCTGGGAACCTCTGCCTTGCCCTGGGCGAGGAGTGGGAGAGCTGGGAGCCTGGGATGTGGGCAGATCCCATTGCCTTCCCAACTCTTCTCTTGGCTCTGCATCCTCCTGCTTTCTTTCCCTATGGCCAGGCAGGAATTTATCCCAGGCAAGAGAACAGCCCTGGGAGCAGCGTCACAGCCTTGCAAAATCATCACCAGCCATGAAAAATGGAAAGCTGAGCAGGGATGCTGCCTCCTGCAGCTGGCTCTAGCTCTGGGCATTGCTGGAGTGGTCCAGCATCAAAACTCCTGCCAGACACTGGAGGGTTGACCCAGACCCCTGGATTAAAGTGCCAATGTCCCTGGGGAGTGAGGGCTGGATGCAGCCGTGGCAGGCAGGCTGTGAGAGTTGCTGGCTCCCAACGTCCAAGGAATTTTCTTTCCAGCTCCAGAGCCCACGGCTGCTAAATGCCCAAACCTGGGGAACCCAGGGGACTTCCAAAGAGCATCAGACTGTTTTAAAAATACTTTATTCTTTAGAAAATACAGCGTTCAGTACAGTGTGCTCTGCTCCCCCCAGCTTCAGCCCCCTGACTCCACCGAGGTCAAGGCAACATCGGCACGTTCACCGCCACAGCTGGAAAGCAGAGGGCAGGTTTCACCGACCCCCTTTCCATCCTCCCACGGAGGAAGGCGGCTCTCAAGCCCTCACTGGAACCCAGCAGCAAGGTGCTCTCCCCCCAGACCCCCAGTGCAGCCCAAATCACAGTGCCAAGCTCGGCCCGTGGAGCCCTTGGTGGCTGGGGACGTCCGCAGGGGGCACACAGGGGCTGTCATGCTTCCCCACACAAGGATTTGGGGTAGCCCATGTGATTATTAAGACACAGGGCTGCCCCAGCCCAGAGCCAGCTGAAAACCTGGGGGGTAACGGTGGGGACTGGGGAACAGGGAATGGGGGGACCAGGGCTCAGGAGCCCCTCAGCTCCCATCCTAAACAGAGATGGGGCTGAGTCAGGGCTGTAACAGATCCTTCTGAGGGGATAAGCCTTACTGGGGTGGTTCAAAAAGGAGATACAAACATCACCCAAAGGCAGAGTGACCTTTCTCCAGGTCCAGGCTGAGCTCGGGACTCAGTGGGGAACCTCCACCTCCCGCTGCCTGACTCTCTGCAGGGAGAAACTCCCACCCCACAGGAAGCAAAGCCCACCCTACAGGAAGGGGTCCTGCCCACACCCCGAGGAGGTGCAGGATCACTCCAGGCCTGGGACAGGGGGGCTGTGCACACGAAGAACAGGACAGGAGAGCAAAGTCTGGGGGCTGGGGGAGCAGGGAAAGAAGCCTTTTCTCTCTTCAAACAGGAATCCCCAACGCCACCCCCTCCCCTTTGCATAGAGCAGCTTTCAGGTGAGCGTGCCCTTCAGTCCCCCAGGGGACACAGAGAGCAGCAGCTGTGACTCCAGAGGGGACAGGAGCAAGGCTGGGGACGTGGCCCTGCTGCTCCCATCCTCCCCCGGCAGCCCTGGGGCTCGCACAAGGACGCGGGGAAAGGAAACACCGACAGCCCTGAACCCGCCCCATCGCTCTGCCCCCAGGTGCAACAAGCCATCCTGATCTTTAAAAAAGGAATGAAACAGGAGAAAAAAAAAAAAAAGGGAGGGGAAAGAGAAAAAAAAAAAAAAAAAGAAAGGCTGAGATGGAGGGAAAGCTCCCCAGGTCAGCGCAGAGGAAGGCGGGCAGCGCCGCGGGGATGCTGTCCGTTCAGCGCCCGGCCCTGCGGGATCTAACTGTCCTCGCCGTTCTCGCCTGGCCCCTTGATCAGCCGCTTCTGTCCCCGCTTGCCCACGGGCCCCTTGGGCTTGGCGAAGGCCTGCTTGAAGGCGTGCTGCTTGGGGTGCACCTCCTCGTACAGGAACTCCGCCGTCAGCTCCGCTCCGTCGTCGATCTCGATCTGCGCCCGCAGCGGCAAAGGGAATTAGCAGCTCCCTTGGGTTTTGACGCCCGCCCCCAAGCCCGCCAGAGGGGCTGGAGAAAGGCTGCAGCACAGCCCCTTGCTGATGCCCAGCACGGGTCATCTCCGTGTGGGCTCGCACTTACCTTCTTGGCTATCTCCAGGCAAAATTCCTGCTCCACGGTGTCCAGCAACCGGCTCTTGCAGCTGGAGTAGAGCATGCGCTCCTTGATGCTGCACTTGTACCCGGGCATGGAGTAGATAAACACTGCGAGAAGAGAGCAGGGCTTGGGGTGCTGCCCAGGCCTGTGGCCAGGGTGTGCCAGCTGCACATCTACCCTGGTCACATCTTTTTCAGCCCCGAGAGTCCCAGTTTATTCAGTGGCAGAAGGTGAGCCATCCCATCCGTCATCCCTCCCAAATCTCCCCTGGTATGCCTGTCAAGCACTGGCCACCAAACCACTCCCACAAATCCTCTGTGGCGGCACCCAGGGAGACCTGCACCACACGTGGCAGGGTTTTTTTGGCACCAAAGGGCTTGCCAGCACCCACCATGGGAGGGAACTGACTCAAGGTCCCCTGCCACACCATCCCTATCCCCATCCCTGCTTGCTCCCCCATGTGAGCAATGGTCCAGGGAAAAAAGGGACCTCCACAGGTTTGAATCAGCCATCCCCAGTGCCAAGGTTCTCACCGACAGACTCCAGGTAGTCTCCCTCATGTGAATGCTTGTATAGGAAGAAATGGTAGCGAGCTGAGTCCTGGGGGATCCTCTTGGGCAGGTCAGCGATCTCTGTGGGGCTCGTGTGCACCAGGTCGATGGTCTCCCGCTCCAGATCCAGCTTCTGATGGACAGAGGGACAGGGGAGCAGATGGGAGTGAGAGATGGCAGCAAGAGGTAGGGGAGTGGGGCACAGAGGAGCCATGTGAGGGACCTACCAGCTGGATGTAGTTGATTTTCTTCTGCTTGAGTGCCTGGATGGCTTGCTGGGCATCCAGCTGCAGGGGGAAGGCCAGGCCCTGCAGTGTTTGGTGCTTGCTCTCCACACTGATCTCTGTCTTCACCTGGGGATGGAAACCACCTCGAGCGTCAGAGCACAGTGGCGAAGGGTAGGGAAGGGAGAGAAAGGAAAACCAGCCGGTGCTGTGGCTAAAAACTTCTCATCCAAGGAGCTTCCTGACACCCAGCTCACAGGGACCACGGCATTAAACTGCTGAAAGTCAGCCAGGCTCAGGATGGGGACGCTTGTCACTGTACCACTGCTCTGGGAGATCACCCGGGCCCAGCCATGCACCCCTGCACCCCACACTGCACTCCCAGCAAAGACCAGCTCAAGACCAACATTTCCCAGCGAGTCCCTGACAGGGATACTGCGACAGATGCCGGCACATTTCCATCTCCATTCATCTCCAACTGCTACCCCACGGGTGACAGGGGGAGCCCTGAAATGACAGCGCTCAGTTGCACAGGTCCCCACCAGCAGGGAGGACAACCCACCCTCCTCAGTGAGTTTAACTGCAGCAGACAGGCATTCCCTCCAGCGCTGGAGCTGGGGAACTGGAGATCCACAGCTGGGATAGATCCCAGACGCTGTTTTCCCCACAACCCCTGAGGCTGCTGCCTGTAACCCCTAGTCCAGGAGATCAAACCCCACTTCAAAGAAGGAAGAGAAAGAGATTTTGTCCCGGGTGCCTCCATCCAGCCACAACAGGGGTCCCTCACAGGGACTGGAGGGGAAGGGGGGTCAGGGCGCGGCGGGCACACCATACCTCCTCGGGGTCGGGGTACTCTACCAGCGATGGGCAGCAGCAACAGCCCCCCACCATCTGCCACAGAATACAGGGAGATGGCGTCACCCCGACGGCGGAGGAGCCCTTCCCACCTCAAGACCCCCTCCCAGGGAAACAGCCCAGCAACTCTAACCCAGGTGCTCTGCAGTGAGCGTGGGTCCCTTTCCTTTGGGATCTGTTTTCAGAGATTACGGATAGAGTCCAACCTTAATGGCTTTTTCTTTCTTCATTGCCCTCCCCCTGACAGAGAAAAGGAAGAAAAGTCAAGGCATGCCAAGAAGAAGTGTAGGAGTTTGAGCTGACATCTCAAAACCACTCGGCAGCACCTAAGTGGGTCTCTTTACAGGGCTGCCCTTTGTTACAGGAGCCTCACATGGTACCCACACCCCGGGGGAACGATGGACTCGGGTGCCCAGAGCAGAGCATGCAGAAAGACAATGCCAGGAGAAGGAGAAACCGGGCATCAAGCAGGCAGAGCAGCCTACCATCTCGGTGCTCGAGTCTTGGGAACAGGAATCCTGCGAGCGTGGGGAGAGGAGACACACTGTCAACAGCACCCTGCGCAGGGATGGGGGGGTGTCTCGTGTGATAAAAGAAGGGGTGGGGGACACATGGACATGCCAGGAGGATGAAGCCATACCATGTCCCTGCTGGAAGCCAGGGAAGGCCACATTGCCCTGGCAATGTGGGCAGGGAGAGCAGCAAAAAATGACACAGGAGATGTCAGTGCTGGGGAGGAGTGGGAGGGAGAGTCTCAGCCCCCAGCCTGGACAGCTCTGCATGCAGTGTCTCTGCCAATGTCTCTGTGCAGAGCCTGTCCCTGCCCCATCTCCTGCTGGCTCCCCAGCTGGGGTGGCCCCAGCCCAGAGTTTGGATGAGTTCCAGAATTTGCAGCAATAGATTTTGGGCTATCCTTCACCAAAGAGCATATGGTAAAGGTTTAGGAGGAAAAAAATGCCCAAACCTCTATCAATAACAAGCATTCTGGAGGATGAGCAGGGTGTGAATGTGCAGCTCTCAGGAAAGAGAAATAATTGCTTAAGTGGGCACAAAGTCCATCTGACCTCCAGCTCTGTTGTCCTACAATCCCCTGGGATGCCGTGGCACCAGCACAGGCCCAAGGGAAAGCACACAGGGATTCAGGATGCACACGAGCTTGCCTGGTCCCACCCTGTGGAGAGGTGCAGCACAAGAACATCACCACTGCCAACACCCCCAGACCCTCAGGTTTCTCTCCTGTAAATGCAAGGAGGATGGGAGGATTATAGAAGGACTGGAAAGACCTCAAGCTCCAACACAAAGCATGCTGAAGTCCAAAAACACCACAAGATGGAAATTTGTCCTAGCAACATCAATTTCCCCATACCCCTCTGTATTTTCTACTCCTTCCCTTTATAAAAACAGTAAAAAATGGCTTCCTGAAACACTCCCCAGGGCACAGCCTGAGAGCCACGCACGGGACTGCTGAGCATATGCCACATCCTGGCTGCCCAGCCTTGCTGGCAGCAGGCTTGCCTAGGGGGGGTTTATTTTACCTCCTTTTCTTTAGGTTAGATTTTCCCCACCTCTTTCCTCACTCGTGGCACGGTGCTGACCTTGGCTAATGAGCACTGCTATGTCTTACGGTGAAATCCTCATGGGAGGATTCTGATGAAGCCTCTGCTCTACCCACCCTCCATCACTGTGGGGCAACCACTAATGACACCCCCTTCCACGCTGCAATTGCCCCCCCACCCCTTCAGTTCCTTTTAACTCTCCTGTCCCCTCTCCCAGCCCCATGGGTGGGATACACCCGGCTCCCCGCTGTGTTTCTGAACCTGCTACACCTCTAGAAAGACTCCCCACTCGTGGGTGTTAAGCTCAATGCAAAATTCAAAGCTGTTTCTTAGCCCACGGTCTGCTGACAACTCTCAGCTCAGCAAAGCTGGCATTTTCCAGCTATTTAAAAATATATATAGATACAAAGCGAATAGCAAATTTCCCTAAGTTCCCAACCAGCCATCAAGAAAGAGGGTATTTCACAGCATCACCTCTGTCCATGCAGCCCTTGAACCACGGGGAAAGCTTGGCTCATGCAGCCTAAAACCTGCTTTCCCAAAGGCTGGGCACCTCCCTGGGGGACGTTCAAACCTGAGTCCTTCTTTGTTCAGTGTCAAAGGCTGCTCTGCCTGTCCTGAAGCAGCTGCCCTGCAGCCATGGCCTGTCCCTTCCTGCTTTGCTGCTGACCTTCCCCTCCCACCCCCTCCATGCACTTTCCCGGTGGCTGTGGAGGATCCCAGGGAGCTACTGCCTGATGAGAAGCACAGCCATGTTCAGGGTGAAGATTGCAAACCTGTCCAGTGTTTCAGAAGATCGTGCATCAACAATACAAAAGGAGAGGGGAGCAGAACTCCCAGCAGCAGCTCCAGGCAAGGGGCACAGCAAAGCACTTGAGAGCTGGTGGCTTTTAAAGAAACCATGTCCCTTGTGTCACTTGCAAAATCCTGACAGGTTGGTTGAACCCAGGGGGATGTGCAGGGTCCTGGACCACTAGCAGGGCTTGGGCACACACACAGAAGTGCTGAGGTCAGGGATTGCCCTGGGCCCAAGTCCCAGGTCACTGCTGGCCCTAAACACCCTCTCCCACACGCTGGATCTGCTCCCCTAAAGGGAACTGCAACGTGCAAGCACGTGGAAGGACCCCACAGCCTGTGCACAAGGTGCACATGTGTGCAGGGACCCTGCACGCTGCAGGCAAGGCTGGAGGCATTGCTGTACCAAGAGAGGTGGTACAAGTTGTGAGCTGCTCCCATACAACCCCCTGGATCACAGCCCTCTGCTTTGCAGGGCTCCAGAAACTCACTCCAAGCTGCATTTACTGAGAGTCCTGGGTTTCCCCACCCTGGGGACATCAGTGTGGCACCGAGCACCCAAACCACAGCTCGCACCACCTCCTGCTCTGTGTGCAGGGCCAAGTGGGCAAAACACCAACACGGAGACCTTCACCCAGCATCAGCCACTTCCCACCCTTAAATCCACCCACAGGCAAAAACATATCCATCTTCATCTCCTTCTAAATGTTGGTGGCTGCTCCCTGTGGCCCAGGCTGACACAGGGGACCACGTACCTTTAAAATAACCCCCAAAAGACTAAATGGCAGCAGCACCTCCACCCAAGAGCTGCATCTCACAAAGGCGAGGGCGGAAAGGAGAACACAGCAGGTCAGCTGGAAAATGAGCACCACAAGCACTACTTACCTGGGCCACGTGACTCTGTAAGACACAGCCCAACACCCCCCCAAAACTACTTAATCCTGCAGCACTGGCCAGACAAGGTGATGGCACAGACGTCCTGAGGTGCCAAATGGGCTGCAGAGCCACCATCAGCATCTCTCTCTTCTCCAAGCATGGGAATCAGCTTGGATCCCCCAGCACAAATCATGCCCAAACCCTCAAGGCTGGGAGCTGGGATAACGCCACTGAGACCCATGGTAGAAACCATCCCTTAGTGGCATCTCCAAAATGTCCTTCAACTTCTCCACCCCCAGACCTCGTCTTTGTCATTAATTAGTGCCATCAGGCTGATTGGCTTCATGTCTCCCAGGCACTTCCTGATCCACCCATGAGCCCCACAGCAGGCAGAAGAGAGGGATGTTCCTCTAGAGATGAAGACTTTCCATCCATCTAAGGGAAATCCCCTCATCCCCCCAAAAATACTGCTTTCAGGTGGTCTTCCCACCTGTTGAGTCAACCCCCTTCCCTGCCTCAGTGTTTCACTCAGAGGTTGGTATGAATGTCGTGAGATCCCAGCAAGGAGATGACAGCCTTGTCTGCCCCCAGCCCCACCCCGTGACACTTCCACATCTTCTCCAGGGTAAAAGTCCCCACATTTAGGCTAAGATCTGTATTTCTTGGGACAGCATCCTTATATTTATAGCCATAGAGGAAGAGAATGGGACAGGATGCTGCTGCAGCCCAAAGATAAGCCTGAATTCTTACTGCCTCCCCCACGACTTCAAACTCAGCACTGGCTTTTGCCCCAGCACCCAGAAGTTAGAGACTGCTGCCTGTTTTCAGCCCTAAACCATCTTCTGATTGCCAGCAAAACGCAGTCCTGAGATCATGTTCAAGGAAGATAAAAAATAAAAGTGTAAATTCCTCTTTATGCCACCACAGTTTGACTGTGAGGAGGTTCGGCCACCTCAGCAAGGGCAGGAACAGGTTAAACTGCAGAGGTACAAGGGAGCAAAGTAAAAATGAGCCATCCCTTCTAGCTGAACGCTCATTCCCTGCATCCCACATCCCTTCATGCTCAGAGGGTCTCAGGTTCCTCTCCTGGGGCTGCTGGACACCCACCTCGTTGATGCGGATCTGCTGCAGCTCCTGCTCGGCTGCCGTCAGCGGGGCCGGGGCAGAGCTGGAGGACACGTGCTTTTGGTAACCACTCAGGGACACGTCCTCCTGCAGACACAGGGACAGGAGACACATCAGAGGTGGTTATCAGGATGCACCCCCAGCCTTGAGGTGAGGCTGAGCAACCCGGTGGGTCCTGGGCTCCCTCCTTACCAGGAGGATCAACCTGAGAAGTGCCCTGGGATGGCTCCAAGCAAATCCCCACACTCGATTTTAAACAGTGCCCACGACTGCTTGTGCCTGTTCAGACCCTCCCCAGGCACCTGTGGCTGTAGCAGTGCGGCTCTTCCAGCTGATTAATGGAGCTCATGAGCATGGAAGTGGGAAGGAAAGTAGAGCTTACAGACTGAGAGCAGCAGAGCAGGGCCCTAGAGCAGAAGAGGGATCTCCTGGAGCAGAGCAGGGATCTCCCTGGCTCCCACAAGCACCAGAAGCCTCAGCAGGACTGATGCCCAGGATCCAAGGCAGAGGGATAACCCTGGCATGCAGGCAGCTGTTGCTGCTGGAGTGACACTGCCACCACCTGGTGCTTCTTCTCCCACTCAGTGTAAAGCTCCACATCTTGGAGCCTTCCTCCCACTTCTTCCACGGTCTCTATCACAGACCACAGCCCTGCAGGCAGGAGAAGATGGCAGTGGCCACCCAGGAGACTAAAGCAGCGTGAGGGACCAACCTCTGTGCTGTCCCAGCATCCCACATCCCACCACCCAGGCACTGAGCTCGGGGTAGGCTGCTGAAACTCAGGGTTGGACCCAAAAGGCTGCCCAGGAACCACCACCATACCTTCACTGTGCCAAACATCTCGTCCTTTATGTGCCCCCCTCCAAACTCCTTCTTCACCGTGGCTCTGGTGGCAGCGTAGAGCATCTTCAGCCGGACCTGCCGGGAGAGGGGCGGCAGTGCCGTCACAGAGGGGCACGGGGCACCAGGGAGGTGCCAGTGCTCACAGCCACCATCCCACCACCAGCTCCACAAACATCAGCCCTCCTGGGAACAACCACCTAGTTTCCAGCTCCACCTGATTTCTAATGGCAGCATCCCTGAGTGGGGAGCAGGCGGGAAAATCCACCAGCACTATTTCCAGGGCTGCCGGCGCCCGGCACAGCCTTGCCAAGCAGGGCCCGCAATCCCACAGCTTATTCCATGCTTTGCTTTCCCATCCCTGAGCTCCAGTGTGCCATTTCTCACCTGCACCTGGGTTAGAGGAGGTGCAAATACCACTGGAGCCACTTAAAAGCAACTTTTGCCTTTGGCACTTCTATTGCCTCGCTCTGCAACGTGCAGGGAAGAGCTTTGGCAGGTGCTCCTGGGCACACTGTGCTTTTGCAATAAGACCCTCTGTGGTTTGTTGAAAGATATGTATTTAAAATATATGTTATTATACAGCCACCTGTATATGTGCATGTACACATATACACACATATAAAATGATATATTATATCATTTTATTATAATTGTATATACATATGTGTATATATATACGTGTGTATATATAATAACAACCTAATTGTTAGATATATACAAAGGAACTGCAGTGGGTCTTTTCATATATATGCACGTTATAATATATAAAATAATATATATTACATATATTGGTGTATGTGTGTGTGTATATACATATATATACAACAAGTGCATGTATTAACACGGCAGTAAATCTATGTAGCATAAAGATTATATAAAATATATAATAAGTATATATATATGTGTCTATGTATATGTATATATATATTATATATATATATATAATATATATATATATATGCACACATATATATATGTATCCAGATGGCAAGCACACATGTTAACACAGCAGTAAATGTCATGCCCACCAAAAGCCTGGAGATGTGCTCAACAGGATGGCATTTTCCAAGCCATACTGCTGACATCCTCTAAACCTGCCTCTCATCCAGCAGCCCTTTTTTGCCCACTCTCCAACACCTTATTTTGGAGCCAGGCCTGGAGAAGGGCTGGCAGCCACTCCGTGAGCAGAGCAGGGCCAGGCTGGGGGCAAGTCAGTGCCAGTGCTGGCTCTTCCCAGCAATGCCTTTGGCCAGAGCCACGGTGGGAGGTCTCCATCCTGGCCCTGTGGTCCACACTGCTCCCCCCTCTACGCCCCAGCCCTGCCACCTCCTCCTGTCGCAGCCCAGCACGGAGCTCACCGGGGAGCTGTCGGGGGACCAGGAGATGAAGAGCCACTCGTATCCCTGGGCGTTCTGGCTGTCCAGGCGGTACAGCACATAGCAGGGCTGCTGCTCGTCCAGCAGGGGCAGCACGAAGGGATCGTAGTCAGCGTCCCAGCGCCGGGACAGCTCTTTGTGGGCTCCCAGCACAAGCTGTTCTGGAAGGAAAAGACAGACAAGGGGGTGTTAGACGAAGGCAAGGCTCACCTTGCAGCACCAGATGGCGGCTCACCCAAGGGTTTGTTTGCTGCAACTCCAGCACCAACGATGCCATCCTGCAGAAAAAGAAACTATGACCTGGAGCCACATGCAGCAGTGTACACCCCGAGGTGTGACCCCCCAGGAGATGCCATCGGGGCTGTTGCTGCTGTGGAGGGGCTGGTTTTCTGCCAGCATCCCACGGCCTCCTGTCAACCATCTCCTCCCCCAGTGCTCCTTGCTGCCGAGGTCTTCTCTCTGGTGATCCTGTGGCCTCCCTCCACTCATGTAGTTCTCAACCATCCCTTCTTGCTCACAGAGAAACATGACAATCTTCCACCCCACCTGGGAAGCTTTAGGGGCACTATAATATCTCACCAGGGACATGAGGAAACACCAACACTCGGGGTGTTGAGACAAATAAAGGCATCATAGCAAAATCCACTGCCACAAGCCAAAGCTGCTCTCATCTGATCCCCTTAACCACAGAGGGGACAAAATGAGAGCTGATACCCAAAGCCCATGTCTGTGGAAATCAGGGGTGTCCCAGAGACCCCAGCCTGAGGTCTCTGCCAGGAGAGCCCCAGCCTCTGGAAGTGACCTAAGTATTTCACAAACATGGCAGCATCTCAAGTATCTGGAGGGCATTTTTTCAGCTGCTACACAAGTGGCAGTGGGGCTGGGATCCCTGTGAGCTGGGCACTGCTCAGCTGGGATTTAAACACTGGTGCAGGCATCCTACAAACATAAACCCCATGCCCTGGTGAAGGTCAAACCAAGCTTTGGGATGGCTGAATGGAAAAGGGTTGGCACTGGAGACGATTAGTGTAGGTTGCTGGAAAATAGCCTGTATTTTTATTCCATTTGTAGATGCAGAAAGGTCTGGAGGAGATTACAGGACTCAGAACAAGATGTAGGAAAATCTGGAGGTGCCAAAGCAAATGAATTAGAGCCTTCAACAATTAGCACTTGAGGGGATGCTTGGCCTGACACATGCCCTGCCTGGACCTCTGCCCACAGCCCTGCTGCCCACTGGGATCCAGGAAGCCCCTTGGCTGGGGCACAGCCCTCTCCCAACCCTTTCAGCCCAGCAGCTCCAAATCCCATGGTAGGAACGTTTTTGAAGAAAATAGCTGAGGAATAAAGGGTTTGGAAGGAATTGCTCTCATCCTTCCTTCCCACCCAAGCAGGACATTCCCCAAGACAGCACTGCAGCCCTTCCCTGCCCAGTGCCACCCTGGCATCTGCCATCACACACTGAATCCAGTTATTTGAGCATGGGTAGCACAAGTCACCAGTTCAGTAACAAGCAGAGAACAAGGTGCTGGAAATACTTCTTTACCTTCGACAAAGCTACCTGTTTGAAGAAAGAAGCATAAAAACTTCCATGTACCCCTAAAATAAGCACAAAGCTCCGCAAATCGATTTGTGCGTCGCAAAGGCCTGGGATCCCAAAGAGACTGCAGGAATCTCACCTGGCCAAACCCACTGGCAGCTCGTGGGTATCTCTGTCTGCAACACATACCAACACCTCACGCACGAAGCAATCGGTGCTGAGTCACTCCAGGCTATTCCCGGGCTGTGACTAAGCCGGACCCCGGCTGTGCTGCTGTGAGCTGGCAGCCTCCAGCTTTCCCCTGGGCTCTTTGCAGTTCCGCTCAATCCACTCACGGCCAAATTTTTCTCCTTGGGAAGAATCAGGAAACTCGAAGCAACAGCCTTTCAGTAAAGCATCATTGTCAGCATTGACTCTTTCAGGTGCCGTTTCTGCTGGGAGCGGCTGCTGGAAAAGCAGAGCTGGGGGTGTTTCTGGCCCTCGAGGTGCCCCCAGCACTCACTGCACACAGGCTACCTCACTCTGAAATGCCTGACAAGGAACCTCTGCCTTCAGCTCTGGTGGGTGCCGTGGGGGACAGCACAGGATGGCCCAATCTGCAAAGCTCAGTGCACAACAGCACCCAAGTGTAAAGACATGCACCCAACAGGGAAGTCCACAAAGTCAGCCTGTCCAGAATCCTGCTGACAGTGAGAAGCAGAGCATCACCTAAAAACACATTGAACCACAAGCTGCTCTCATGCCAGCAAACTGCTGCTGAGCCTTGGTGCACACCCTGCTCTCCCAGTCCTCCTCCATCCAGCCACGGCTTTTCCCGGTAGGTCTCCAAAGGCAGCATCAGCTCAAATTGCTCCAGAGGGCTGCTCAGCCACAGATGTGGCTTTGGGGATGCCTAGACACAGAGCATCTGCCATAAGGCCCCTTGCACCATCCTCCTCTCCTCCTACCTGCTTTTGCCTGCTCCAAAATGCACCGAGACAAATGTCCCCACAGGGCACAAGGTGTGAGCAAGCTGTCAAACAAAGATGAAGGCTCCTCTTCCACATCCCCTGTTCAGGCAGGGCAGCTGGGACGTCCTCCCCAGCCAGCCTAGGACACATCCCTTCCAGGACCAGCATGCTGGAGTCCCTCTGTCTGGCTGTGACCTCTGCTTGGACGCTCCTTACTGCCCAAAGGTCCATCTGCAGTGGGTACCAGCAGGCTGATGTTCCCTGTGCTACAGAAGAGTGGTGGCCCAGAGAGACCAAGCACCGTGCCCCTGAGTCAGGCTGGTGGGACCACCACCACCTTGTCCACAACAGTTCAAGCCCTTTGGCAGAGAGGTGCTCCCACCAATTCTCCTTCCTCTTGCCGACCCACAGGAGCCTCAGGCTCTGCTGCACCCCAGAAGCTTCTGCAGACACCCAAGTTCCTCCAGAGCTGCCCATGGCTGGTCCAGGCCAGGGAGAAGTAGCTGGCAGGGTGGGAGAGCTGGACTGTGAAGCACAAAACACTGCCAGGCGAGGATGATCCATGAAGCTGCTGCTGCTGCTGTCACATTGGACATATAAATATACCCCATTTATCCTCAGCAGAGACAGTAGGACACATTTTCTGTTGATGATAAAACATCTCCCTTGCTGGTGTCACCAGCCACAACCCAAACGCTAAGACCAGGCTTAGGGACATCCGTGACTTGCATTATCCTAAAACAAACCTGACTCCTGCTTTTTAAAAGCAAAAGAAGCTGAGAGTGCAAAATTGTTGTCAAAGATGCTCCAAAGGAACAACGAGGATGTCTCATCCCACCACACAGGGACCTGGCCGAGGACAAAGCCAACACAGCTGAAGCTGCTGTAGCCCCAGTGATGTGTCCCTTCAAGTGGCATTTTAAGTCCCGCTGCTCTTCCAACAGGGCACTCCAAAGGTCACCGTGGGCTCCTTACAACCACATCCACCTCAGTATTTGCGGCATGGTCCTGGTGGCCCACCCAAGGGAGGTGGTGACAGCAGCTTGGCAGGGTATTAATGTCCCTGCTGCTGGAGAAACAAGTCATTCATATGCAATTGTATGAGGCCGAGGTGATGGAAAACCTACACCACAGTGCCTCCCCGCTGGGATGTTCAATCAGTGCTTTGCTCTGCTCACTTGCTTGACAGATGTAGAGGCCACCCAAAGGCACCTTTCCATGGGACAAACACAGGCAGGTTGGTGGCACCTGCATCCTGGGCTAGGGGCAGTCCCATGCAGTGGGATGGGTTTCTGAGTGTAGCATCCCTTGTGGGAGGAAACTGGGGCCCTGTGCTGAGCCCTGTGCCACAGAGCACCCCCCTGCCCACCCCTGCCTCAAACACCTCCTCAACTGGTGTGGGATGCCACATCCAAGGAGGAAGATGCCTGTGCATCACCCCTAACAAAGGTCCCACAGATCCTACACCAGTTTGTCACAGGGTTCCCATCACAATTGGACACAGCAGCAGCAAAAGCCCCCAGAGCCCAGCACAGATCCCAACACTGGTGCTGCTCTGCTGGCAAAGTCACTGCTCCCCGCTGGAGCTGCCCCAGGGCTCCAATAGTTGCTCACCAGCACAGCCAGATTTTGGGCTTGTATTTCAGGTCTGGGCTGCCACGTGCTAGGAAACCCCAGCAGCGTTTTCCTTGAGGTTTCCAAAAACACGAGCTGGTACCTCAGCAGTGAATAGGAGAGGAGGAGAGGAAACAGAGAACAGACATGGTGTAAATCAAAGCACTCAAAAACAGGACTTACCATCCTCAATGATGACCTTGATGAGCCGAACTGAACCGTTTCGGGCTTTGGCAAAAAAGTCCCTTAATTCTGTGGTGGCTGAAAGAACCAGAAACATCGTGATCAGATTTAGCAATCAAAGCAGGTGCTCAGCTCTTGGTGACTGGCCAGGGAGGGGATCAACTCGGCAGGATAGAAATGTAAAAGTTTTTTGTAAAAAAATGAAATCTCTGATGCCCTTAAAAAATTATAATAAAAAATACTAGTAAAAAGCCCAAAAAGCTGAGAGCAAAGTGCTGCGTCTCCCTGAGGTGTCAGAGTTAAATAGCAGCTGGGAGCACATGTGATCCAGAGAACCTGATACTTGGCCTGGGTGAACATAATCACCCAAATTTAGACGATGGCTTGGCCAGTGCAGGCAGGGAGAGCTCAAGTGACAAGTTGATTCGCTTTACAGAGCGGCAGGGTTTGCATACTAGGGGTGGCTGGAAGATGTCCCGACAGGCTGTGACATCCCGGGCTGGTGACATACGGCAGGATGCTGCTCCCGAGTGGCTGGGAACCAGCACGGCTCCAAACTGGAGACACTGGTTTGAAGCTGAGCCCCTGGGGAAGGGAAAGGCAACAGCCCCAGGGTTTTGCTCCAGAGCCAGCAGGGCTTTGATTGCACGAGGCTTTTGGGGAGCCACCTTCCCACTCATCCCCCATCCCTGAGCACTGGGCAATGGCAACCGGTCTTTGGCATCCTTCCAGGAGGCAACTGGAGGCAGTGGATATTGAAGGAGCAGCCCGCAGGCAGCATGGAAGGCTTCACCTGCCCACCCTGAAAGCATTACTGGCACAGAGCTCCCCATCCCACCCAGGACACGCTGCACATGAAGGCGATGCCCAGGAGATGTGGCTCGGAGTGGCCGACCCCCCGATAAGGAGCATCTCCCAGGCCAGTGTTACCTCCCCCTAAAACCCCTGCAGTTACACACCCAAGCCCTTTCCTCGATGCAGCCATGCAGCCAAGGGGGCCCTGTGAGTTCAAAGCTGCTGCACTTGTTAGAAATACTAAAGAAAGTGGCACTGCAAAGATCAGAGACCTGGGCAGATGCCCCTCAGTCCATGCCAGGATCTGTGCTCAGTCACCACCAGCAGCCCCCTGCTCCCAGCGCTTTGCTGTGCTACCTGCCCATCACTGATGGCTGTGCCAAAGCAGCCAGCAGCAGGAAGGAACCCTGCTTGGGTCCCTGGAGCCTGAGAGCATCCTTGGTCAAGGCACTTTGCAAAGGAAGCCATCCTTACATCCTTAGCTGGAAAGGTGCAGTGGTGGGACATGCCACAGCAAGGGCCAGATCCATTCTGGCTCAGTCCCTCCAGCAGTGGGTGCACCCTCAGCACAGCTCCAGCACCACCACAGGAGGAGCCTCAACATTACCCAGCACCCACCCAAGGGACATGGTGGCCAAGGACTGTCACACAGCGGTGCCCTGTGTCCCCTGGAGCCACACCCTGGGCTGAGGCACTGCCCGCAGCTCTCCCAGCCACGAGGGAGAAGGAATCCCTGGGGTGGCCCCAGGAAACTCCTGCCTGTCCCCCACAAGTGACACTTCTGCGATGCATTTGCCCCACCAGCTCAAAGCCTGCCATGATCAGAGGTCCAGGTGGCTTCCCCTCCCACGGAGAGAAGGAAGACTTTCCAGGCTGGCTCCCTGCAGGCAGCAGTGCTCCCATACAAACCCAGAGAAGCCATCCCAACAGGACCCTGTGGGAACGGGCACACAGACACCCCAGAGAAGGCACATCACTGCTTAATGGCATTTCAGGGGACACTCAGGTGGTTTGCTGGTGTAATCCCACCACCAGCAAACCACCCTTCTCCCTCCATCAGCACCAAGGCATGCAGCTCTCCCAGTTCCCAGCAGACCTTCACCCTCTCCCAGTACCAGCTGGGAGCTCAGCCTGCTCCTGCTGTGCCCAACCAAGGATACTCCGATATTTTTAGCCCCTTTCTCTGTTGAGAGAGGCTGTTTCCTTCTGGCAGCATCTGTGGTTATTGCAAACACACGAGGCGGAAGAGGAAGAGAAAGAGAGACATTTATACACCCAGGAAACCTCGTGCAGGAGACAAAATCTCCTAACAAGCATTAAGTTTCACTGATTCCTGTTAAACTGCCAAAATGGGAGAGAATAACATCCATCAACTTTGGGGAAGAAACGGGAAAGCTCTGAAGCATCCACTGGCTTGCAAATCCCTCCAAACTGACCTCATCCTTCCCAGAACCCAAGGGCATGTGGGGGGGTCTGGAAAATCAGGAGACTGGGCAAATGCAACCTGCTAGCCCACTTGGAAATGCTAGGAGTGCCCTGAAGTATTGGATCAGCAGCTGGGATGATTGATAACTGAGTGATTGACAAGTGATGACCAAGAGCTGGGACCTGTGTAGGTACAGAAGGGTTGAAGGGGATGAGGAAAAGCTTGGATGCTGCTGGAAAAGCCCAGTACACCACAGGAAATACCACAAGGTCTGCCAAGGAGGAAGACTATTTCCAGAGGAGGCAGCAGCAAAACAAAACAAAGCAACCCTCAAGAGGGCTTCCAAGCTTGAATTCTGCTAAAAAAAAAAATTAAAAAAACCCAATTCTAATTTAAATTAAAAAAAATCACCAGGGTGTCTTCAACGTCCCCTCTGCCTCTCACAAGGCAGATCCAAGAGACAGTGAGGAGGGAGAGGAATAAACCAGTGAGGGTTTGAGCATGAGCTCAGCAAGTGCTTCATTACAGCATGATTACGATTTAATTGGCACAGCAGACTTGACGAGATGGCTCATGTGCCTGAAATACTAATACAGAAGTCCAGAGCTGGCTCTGAAAGAAAGGCAGGAGGAGACTTCACCCTGGTGATGGTACCTCTGCCACATGGCATCTCCCTGACAGGAAGTCTCCAGGACACAACTCAAGGGCTGAAAAACCCACATGTGGGGAAACCATAAAGACCAGGGAAAGGAAGGTGCCACAGGATAGAGGACTGGAGGGGACCCACACATCCAACTCACCCTCTAGACATGGGTTCCTGGAAGATCCTGCAACAAATAATCCAGAAACAAACCCAAGCTGGGCCTCTGGTGATCTACTGAGATCAAATTGCATGAGATCCCTCATGCTTCTTCTAGCAGAGCCACAGACCTGTGGGCTTCAGGGGTCTCAGCTCAGCTTCTAAATGTCTCAATCCAGCTTGGGAAACATGGGGGTGGTGAACCTCTATGGCATGGACACAAAACCAGATGGATAACTCACTCAGGGAGGTATCAGAGGTTGGATCCAGCAAGGTCTCCTGGGGACCTGTGGTGGGTCCAGGTTTATCCACATTTCCATGAACACTTCTGGCAGCTGCAATAGTGCTTCCTGCAGCTGTAAGGTGGGAAGCTAGAGGAGATGCAAGCACACGCTGGAGAAAAATTCACCGTTCTTTCAGGAGACTGGAGAAATGGGCTGGGAAAAAAAGAAATGGGATGAAACTCAATAGGAAGCCAAGTACCATAACGAGGGGAAGGCCCAGGTACAATGACACAGGGCAGGTCCAGCAGCTCCAGAGAAGAGAGGTGGGTCACAAGCCAAGTTCAGGTTAGTTGCTTCACGTTGTTGCAGGCAAAGTCATTCGTGAAGGCACGGACAAGAGCGTGACCGTGTTATTCGGTGCTGACAAGGCTGCAGGCACAGCAGGAACAGCACATCCAGGCTCAGCATCGTGCAAGGAGCAAGGCACAGCACAGACAGCACCTGTGCCAGAAGGCACAGCGTGTGGGAGAAACCAAAGGAACTGGGGCTGGTCAGCGCAGAGCAGAGAAGAAAAATCATGAACAGTCTGTACTCGTTTTCCAGCCAGAAACATCAGGTCCCACCTTGGCATTTGGGAAATCTCATGATGAGGGTGATCAAACCCTGGGAAGGACAGACACCAAGTGTCCATTCCTTCACTGAAAAAACACCAGAAATGCTCCTGGGATGTTGCTGCTTTGAGGCAGGGTGAGCTTGATGGCATCTGAGGAACCTTCTGGCCTTTCTACAAGGCTGCCCTGCTGTCCACCCTCCTGGCAGACAAGGTGGGCACAAGCACCCCTTGCTTCCTCAGCCACTCACCCAGCCCAAAATCGCCTCCAGCCATCGAGTCGTGCAGCACCTCCCTCTCCCACTTGTTCGTAGGCTGCAGATGAGTTGTCCCCTATTCATGAGCCACCTGCACTTGGCAGCCTGCTGACAGCGTGTCCCAGCTCCCCTTGCACCACACAACCTCCCTGCCCAGCAGCACCTGCCACCCATTTGGCACAGAGGGCTGAGCAGAGCCCTCAGCACCGGAGCACTCAGGCTGGGCAGCTCACGGCATGGCAGGGAGGTGATGGTTTGGGCAGTGGTGGCCTTCAGGTGGCCCTGATCCTGCAGGCAAGCTGCCAGAGGAGAACTGGAGCTTGTGGTGGGAAGGTACAGCGGTGCCTCCCTTCTGGCAGCACCAAACAGGCACAGCCCAAAGCCTGAACCACCTGAGCTCGGGGAGCAGCAGGGCAGCCAGATCCTTGCACCTACTGCTCGGACGTGCTGTTGGCAGCCAGAGCAGGCACTGCCCTGCCCTGGGATGTGCCCCTTTGGATCAGTCCCCAGGAGACTTCAGCGCTGGGCTTAAGGCATCGTGCTTGCCTAACCTGCTGAAAGGTGGTGCTCGCTGGTACCCCCCCATCAAACGGCGTTCCCAAACCGAGCCTTTTCCCAATGTTTACAGCCCCAATTGGCTTATCTGAGCAGAGCCGGGCTGTGAGGAGGCCGGAGGGAGAGAGAGGCACCCGGCAGTGATGACAGCCGTAGCCACAGCAACGGCCACTCCGTCCCTGGGGATGCCTGGGTGCCAGCGGAGCCGCCTGCGCAATCCCCAGGGAAGCACCGCGGGGATGGGGATGGAGGCGACAGCCACGCTGCCTCCCCCATGCCTCCCCCTCCTCCATCCTGTTCCCTTGTCTGGGCAGCAACAGGTTTTTGCTCATCTGACCCTTCCCAATCCCCCCCCATCCCCGTGCCAGCACCCAGCTCCCAGATCAATAATACATGCTCCCTGAAACAGATGCCTCTCTCAATAACACCGAGTCACCTTGTCCTCCCCGACGGGAAACCCGAGCCTCCAGCCATCAATCTTTCATTCCCTGGACATAATCTTCAAGTCGATGCCACTCCAAGCGGCTGCTTCCCTTTCACTGTCCGGGGCACAAGCGTGCCTGGGATGCAACAAGGAAGCTCTGCCAAAAAATCAGCCACAAACCCAGGTAAAACTTGTCCAAGCTCCAGGGAGGCTTGGCCAGACAGAAGTCGAGATGCTGATGAATAAAACATTGGTTATACCTGCACTACCCACACCTTCCCTGCCCAGCCAGCTCTGCCCAGCTCCTGTCTGGGCATCCAGGAAAGGACACAACTGCAACAGGCACAAAACAGCTTCTGCTGGTGCTAAAATTCCTTCTTTTCAGTCTATCCCGGTGTAACTCCGTCACGCAGCGCCTGCTCAACCCGCTTGCTGCAGGGAGCTTTGCCGCTGACGGACACGCATGGTCAGTTTAAGTGCTAAGAGGATTTTATTTCTCACCGTGGAAAAAAATAAATATGTCACTGCAGGGAGGCTTTTCTGTGGGGAAAAAGCTACAGATGTCAGAAGAAAATAGAAAGAAGGGAGGGAGGGAAAAAGAGGGCAAGAGAGGAAGGAGACAAGCAAAGCTTTTCTCCCGATTTTCTGTGGGGCTAGGCTGTACTCCTACAGGATTTCACACGGATGGCTCCTGGTCTGTAATGCAAATCCTGCCCAGAGACTTTGAGCCAACACCAGCCATTTGCTTCTCAAGACCCGATTTTCCACATGGGTGCCCATGACCTGTCCTGTCTCCGCTTTGCCACCTCAGATCGGAGTTATTTGACCTTTCCCTTGCTCCAGGGTGGGCAGAACTCACCCTGCAGGCAGCATCAGTCAGACCCCAGAGCAAAGCAGAGGTGCCTGCAGAAGTGGCTGGCTGCTGTTGCTTTTCTCTGCCCAGTAAAGCCACCAGTGGGAGCACTGGTTTGGGTACCGAGGGGAACAGAGACCCAGGGACAGACCCTGGTAGTGATCTCATTGCATTTACAGTCTCTCACTGCACACTTTCTGAAGGATTTCCTTTGACCCACCATTTTAGGTGTTTAAATTTAAGGGGTCTGACATCTCAGGGCGTTTGTCTGGTCTTCCACCCACGCTTGCCATTCTGCTCATCCTGCCGTGCCATCCACTTGGATATGGCCCATTCCCCAAAGTGGGCATCAACCTCTCAGTTGGATGCTGGCCCAAGAAAGGAGCTCACAAGCAGAGACTGGCTCCTCAAAACCATCCTTGCAGCAGTCTGGTGCCCTCTGTTCCCATGGATAACAGGGGCCAGGAACCAGACATCTCTTCTCCTCCTCCTGATGGTGTGGTGTGACATATCCCTGGTTAGGGGGTTATCCCAGCATTCCAGCCACGAAGCTGCCCCAGATTCAGGTGTCCAGGTGCCTCAGGAGCCAATGCTGCCTCCCAGGACAGGAAGAAGAGAGGGGCTGAGGATGATGTGGTGGATGGGGAGCAAAGGTCCTTCTTTCTTCCCGATGGAGAGCCAAGAAGCTGTCTGTTTTCCAAGGAGACCTTTGCAGACCCAGCAGCTCCTGTGTCCCGCCTTTTTGCTCCTTTTTTCCCATCTGACAGCATTCCTGCCAGTGTGCCTATGCTTCTCCATTCCTACCAGGTGTTTTCCCAATGCAAGATCCAAACCTGGGGCAAAGTGGCAGCTCAGCTGTGGATGGGAGTGAAGATCCTCCCCCATCTCCAGGTCTTGCCACCTCCCCCAGAAAGAGCAGGCACCAAACTCTATTTTTGGCTTGAAGAAACAACATGCATTTGATTTCTTTATCTTCTAGATGAAAAAAAATACCCTCTACGAGACTTTTTCTCTCTACCCAGAGGTCTTGAAAGAGATCCCAGAAGCAACTGAAAGCAGATGACCTCCCACCAGCATCAAAGCCCTGGTTCAGCATTGCCTTCCTAAGGTCTTAAACTCAAGCAGTGAATGCTGTCCCCGCCTAACGCTGCTGAGGGCAGAACAGGGACTGCAAAAATACTCAATGAATCCTCCCAGCTGCAGCTAAAAAGTAGGTTTCCAGCCCCAAAAAGCCCGCAGCACCCCTTGATAGCTTCCAACCGCCTCCCCAGCCTGGCAGTCTCCATGGCAGCCTGGTTTTCTTGCCGGCACCTTCAAGGGAACTGCCAGGGATACACAAAAAAAATCATAATTAGCCTCTTGCCCCTGCATGAAAGGCTCAGCCCCATCACACAACCCTGTGATTACACACCCTGAACCTGCAGCTCTCACTGCCACTGCTTCCCCTCTCTGGGGACCACCTATTTCTCCCCAAAAGCTGGGATGACATGATAGCCTTGAAGCAGGGGGCTGCTCCAGGGGTTCCCTATGACCACGTCACCCTGCTCTCACATGGACCTAGCACAGTGTGAAGCAAAATCCCCCACCAACCTGTCCACAACCTCCCCTAAGCCAGCCACTGGATCTGATGGATGCAGATGCCTTCCTGCAAACATGGGAGCAATGGCAATGAAAAAACACAAGACAATGGGTGCACACAAAGACAAGGCCCCAGAAACCAGCAAGATGCAGAAAATCCTTCCTCCTCAGCAAACAACAGACCTCAGCGCCTCAGCAGAGAGGATGAAAGTAGCAGTGGGATTGCTGTTCCTCATTCGATATGGAATCTGCTCTTTGCTGAGCAAACGGATTAATTTGATCACTGTGCTGGGGTGGGGAGGACTCAAAGACCCCAAATCCCCCTTGGGGGATTCCTTTAGAGCCTGGAGCGCCCCTTTTGGGCATCGCAGGTGTTGGAGGGGCAAATCTGCACTCAGAGAGGAAACAGCAGCTTCCTGGAAGAGGGGCCACGCAAGAGGGGATGGAGTGAGGACCCAGAGATGTCCAAGATGCTGTGACAGCAAGGCCACCCAACACAAGTCATTTTCCATAACTACTGGGAGGTTTTTATGCCACTGCCAGCTCAGGGATCGGCTGCTGGGCCAGAGCAGTGGGGTCAATCCCCACCCTGCACTGCTGCAGCTCCTCAGGGGAAGTCTGAGTCCCTTCCCCTTTCCCTCAGAGCGCTGCTGATGGGGCACATCACATCCTACGGCAACGGTGCCTCAGGGTGACTCCCGGCACTGGTCACAGAGGGCTTGCCAAGCGGTGGGCAACCAAGGTCAGGGAAGGTCAGTGCTCTCAGAGGGAGCCAACTGGCACATCTCCCTCCCCAACAGCCACAGGGTGCCAGGGAGGATGGCACTGGTGGCACAGGAACGGCCAGGCACAGCTGGTGAGCAACAGGCAGCAGCCTCTTGGGGCACACAGCTCAACAAGCCCTGCCTGCCCAAACCCCACAGGGAGCTCTGCAGGGTGGGACCGACATACCCAGAGTTCAGGTGGGCACTGGGGTCCATCCTGGTGAATTTTTCTTTTTTAATTATTATTACATTTTTACAACACAGAGATCATTTAAATAGAGCCTCAACTTTAGGATCTAAGTTTAAATCAGAAACAAAGAAATCAATGCCATCACAAATGCCATCAACCACCTGCTCTCCTGGGCAAAGCAGGAGAAATATCCAGGGACCATCACTGGCCACTTCTGAGCTAAAGCCCCCGCCAGAGCATCTGGAGGGGAAGGATGCTCTTGACCATGCTCAAGGAACAAGGATGGTCATTGTACGAAGGAAGAGTAGGCACAAATTCACACCCTGGTGCACAGGTGCTAGCCGGGAGGAAGGGAGCTGTGGGACAATGTCCCTGCTCTCCTCCCGGGACACGCTGCGGGGCTGGATTCACACCCGACCGCACGGAGCAGGGCTCCAGGGGTGGCTGCTCTCACATCCCTGCTCGCATATTGATTCGGTTACATAAATTATGCAGCAACTCTACTCCTGATTAATATTGCTAATTGAGCTGGGCGGTGGGGGGCAGGAGGGAAATACCGTGAGGACACACAGTCAGTCATGCACCAAGCGCACCCAGAAATGCAAAAGCCGTCGTCTCGGGGCGCTGGCTGGGTCCTGAAGGGAGCGGGCGGAGAAGCCGGGGAGCAGGAAAACACTCGGGCTGTCCGCAGCTCGCCTGGGCTGGGGGCAGCCGGGGACAAGAATCCGCGCCGGGAGGGGCGCGGTGGCCGGGGCTGCGGCCAGGCAGATGTGCGTGACACATCTGCCCGAGCGTGTTACAGCGGCTGTTGAGCATCAGCCCAGACAAAGGATGCGGGAGAGCCCCGCACCCGCGGCACCCCGAAGCTAGACTCCCTTCCCGCAGCTCCTGCCGGCACCCAAACGCTCCGAGCCTGACTCAGTGTCCCCCTCCCCCGCTACTCGCAGGAAATCTGCCGGCTCCTTCGGGAAGCTTCATCTTATCGCCCCCATCACCCCCGCTGTCGCGACACCGCCCGCATCCCGCCCGCGGCGGGGCCGGGGATGCGCGGGGCGCGGCCCCAGCGGTGCCTCCCGCGGGGGGCGCAGCGGGGCAGCCCGGCCCGGGGGGGCCCGGGGGCTGCGGGGGTCCCGCGGGAAGGGCCGGGCGGGGAGCCCCGCTCGGCGGGCGCCGCTCACCGTGGATGCCGGTCTGGTGAGTCATGGCTCCGCTCGGCTCCGCTCCGCTCGGCTCCGCTCCGCCGCGTCCCGGGCAGGAAACGGCTGGGCAAGGCAGCACCGCCCGTTCCGGAGCGCGGGGCCGCTCCGCTCCGCTCCGCACCGCCCCGGGGCGGGACCGGGGCCGGCGCCGGGAGGAGCCGCCCGCCGAGCCGCACCTGCCCCGCCATGTCGGCCGAGTGGCTGCGGCGCTGGCGGCGGGGCGGCCCCGCGGAGCGCCCCGAAGGAGCCCCGGCAGCGGGGCCGGGCCCGCCGCCCCCCGCCCTCCGCTACCGCCGGCCCAAGTTCGTGCCCGGCGGGGCCGAGGAGAGCCCGCGGGGCGGGCGGGCCGTGCGGGGAGCCGGCACCGAGCGGCCCCTGCCCTGGGGCGCGGGATACGCCGAGTGAGTGCGGCGGGAGAGCCCCGGGCGGCGGGGTTAGGGGGTCTCCCCCGGGCTGCTGAGAAGGTTTGGGGAGGGGGAGCAGACCAGGTTTGGGGCCTCTTGCGGGGTGTAGAGAGTGGGTGGCGTGCGAAGGGCTCTCCTGGGGAGGTGCCGGGGGTGGTCGCGCCCCGCCCCGCTCCCCTTGGGTGCAGCCCCCCACTGCCCGGAGCCGCCCGCCCGCCCGCGGGCAGAGCTCGTCCTCCCGCCCCGTTTGCGGGGGAGGAGGGAGCGGCTTCCTGGCTCTAGAAGAGGTTTGACGTGGCAGCGTGTCCCCCAACCCCTCTCTGTCCCTGCTGGGGACACCCTTGCCTACCCCCTGCCAGCCGCAGTACAGGTACCAGTGCGGTGAGAAGTGGCCGGGGCAGCCCCGCGAGCACCACCGGGCGTCTGTCCCCTTGCTCCTAACAAAGCGTCTTTAAAACGAAGGGGAAGATCACGATTTTATAAATCTCTTGTTTTGCTGTTTTAAAGGGCAGAGGGGATGGATCAGGCAGAACTACTCCAGCCAGGAGCTGTCCCCACATCCTGGCCAGACCACTTCATGACCCCGTGGTTGTGGGATGGCACGGTGTGAAATGCAAGGAGAGCAAACTTCCATCTAGGGACAAACCATTAACAAGGCTGGAAGGAAAAGCAGTGGTGGTGGTTTTGCAATTCACTGTGTCGACAAGGAAATAGCACAGTGTGGGCTGCTGACAAGGGCTCCTTGAGACCAGAGTACTCCAAAACCACTCACTTGTCCCTGTGTCCCTGGCCAGGCTTTTCACTGCTGTACATAAATGGCTTATTTTGGTAACCACTAAGGAGATCCTCGAATTTGAAAAGGGAGCAAGGAGCATGGGGCTGGAAGGAAGGGGCAGGTTGCAGCTGTTCACTGTGGCAGCACAGCTGGCTGGGAGCAGGAGAGGTCCAGAGCATCACCACGCCTTACCTGGAGCGTTTGCACCCCCAGGGTTATCAATGCCGAGAAGTCGGAGTTCAATGAGGACCAGGCAGCCTGCTGTCAGATCTCTGTCCGGAGGAGAGAGCCAGGCCTGGAGGAGGATGAGGAATGGCTGATCCTGTGCTCCACACAGGTATGGCCCCCAGGCAGGCTGTGCTCACTGCAGCCTTTTGCTGCCACTCAAGGGCCCAGAGTCAGGAAACACGGGATTACTCCATCAGTCCTACATATCCACTCACTGAAACCCTTCCTTGGACTTGTTAAGGGGACCTGTATACCCTATGGGCAGCAAACACCCAGCTCTGCCTGTACATGTCATTTCTATTTCCATGGGACTTGCAGCACTTGAGGTTGTCCAAGCCCTTTACTTGGTGCCATCACCTTTCCTTTACTGTCCTCACTCTGCTTCCAAGTGCCAGTGTGAGTGGTCTTCACTTGGGGACAGCAGCGTGAACCAGGCACCAAGATGCCTTCACCTGGGAGCAGACCTTGACTCACCTCTTGTGAAATGGCCCCATCTCCCCTAAAACACAGAGGAACAGCACGTGAGGGCAGGTGGTGCAAATCCAGACACTGAGATGACAGGTCTGCCAGAGCAGCACATGGGCATCACATGAGTTTGAGCACAGGAGATTTAACTGGTGGCAGGGAAGGGTAGTCAGGGTGGAAAAGCCAGGCAAAACACACTCTGTGATCTTCTGGCTGTGAGCCTGCCACCCTGTACAACCCTGTTCAGCCTTTGTCTTCTCCCTCCCTTGCTCTCTTGTCCCTCTTCCTCACAGCAGTTTCTAAATGGTTACTACTGGGCACTGTTTGATGGCCACGGTGGCCCTGACGCTGCCATCATTGCCTCCAACTACCTGCACTACTGCATCAAGCAGAAGCTGGAGGAGGTGGTGGGGGGCATCACAGAGGCCCAGCCCCCCATGCACCTCAGCGGGCGCTGCGTTTGCGACAGCGACCCCCAGTTCGTGGAGGAGAAGCACATCCACGCAGCAGACCTGGTGGTGGGAGCGCTGGAGAATGCCTTCCAGGAATGTGTGAGTACCCACCTGTGCAGGCCACCGGTCCTGCTGTCCCAGGCAGTCAGTCTGTCCCCCCTCATCGCTCTGAAGGGCAGGGCCTACAGCTCATGGAGCAGGCAGGAATATTCATCCAAACCTCTAAGGGTGCTGAGATCAGTCTGGGTTAAACCTCAAGATCTGCCTCAGATTTATTGCATGTCAGCAGTGCTGACCCAGGTTAAAGCTACAGCATTTCTTTACAATTTTTAGGGCTATTGTGACACTCGTACAGTGAGTGCAAGTTTGAGATCTCCCCCTCACCCTCCTAAAGCATCTGCAGTCCAGTGGCAACAGCTGTGTTGGCTGTACCAAAGCAACATCATCAATCACCTTGCTGGTTTCCTGTGGCCCATCCACACTCAGTTTTGGTTCTGGATTTCTGCTGGGGAGGCACGAGGCAGAGTGTGTAAAGCAGCAGCTCAGATCATGTCAGTCTCCAAACTTGAAACCAACAGGATGAAGTCATTGGCCAGGAGATGGAAGCTACGAACCAGACAGGAGGCTGCACTGCTCTGGCTGCCCTTTATTTCCAGGGAAAGCTGTATGTGGCTAATGCTGGGGACAGCAGGTGAGTCATAATAAAAGGGCGAAGTTGCTGGGGGGGTGGGAGCTGGGAGATAAGCAAGGTTTCCAGCATCTTACTGTCCTGGTTTCAGCTGGGATGGAGTTAATTTCCTTCCTAGTGGCAAACACAGTGGTGTGTTTTGGATTTAGGATGAGAACAGTGTTGATAACCCACTGATGTTTCAGTTGATGCTGAGCAGGACTTGCACAGAGTCAGGGACTTTTCAGTTCTGGGGGCACAAGAAGCTGGGAGGGGACACAGCCAGGACACCTGACCCCAACTGGCCCAAGGGATATTCCAGACCATGTGGCACCATGCTCAGTGTACAAACTGTGGGAAGGCTGGCCCATGGCCACTGCTTGGGAACTGGCTGGGCATCTGCACTGGGCATCAATTGTTTTGTACATTCTAATTCTTTTATTATTATTTTCCTTTTCTGTTATACTAAACTGCTTTTATCTTTTTTTTTCCCTTAAATTCTCTCCCCCATCCTACTGTGGGGGGAGAGAGGGAGCAGCTGTGTAGTGTTTAGCTGCCTGCTGGGTTAAACCATGACACTTATTTAATCCAGCTGACAGTAAATGTGGCAGCCCAGCCATTTCCCTCCTGCCTGGCACAGGACCTGTTGGAAGAAAAGTGCTTTCTGGAATGGTTTCAGGATTTCAAGGGACTGAGTCTGCCCAGCCACAGGGCAGTCTTGGGGTGGTGGTGCAGCAGTACACTCAGTCTGTCAGGTGTTTAGAGGTGTAAGGTGATTTCAGGGTATCCCCAAGAGCTTCCTCACCTGGCCTTGGCCCCCCATTCCTCTAGCAGTGAGCTCAACCACTGTCAAACCAGGCAAGCACAGTTCTCTGCTGCAACAGTGCAATTGCAATGGAGTTATTTAAAATGGCATTTTTGAAATGAGTTTTCAGGGCAGAGCTATTCTCTGGCACAGCTCTGCACCTCTCCACTCACATCTCTCCACTTTTCTCCCCTTATAGGGCCATTCTTGTCCTGAAGGACAGCGTTGTGCCCATGAGCAGCGAGTTCACACCCGAGACAGAGAGGCAGCGAATCCAGCACTTGGTGAGTGACCACTTTCACTCATCAGACAGTCCAGCGAGCAACCCACTGGGTCACAGGGGGTGCTTGTGGCAAGAGGACCACCAGCTTTCCTTGAAGGCCACTGTGGCCACAATGTCAGCTGGCAATAGCCAGGGAGGGCTGGGGGTGAGATTCAGCCAACAGTCTTCAGTATGGGAGACGCTCATGCCCTCATTGGAACGTGCTTTCCCAATTCTGTTCTCCATTGTGCTGCTGGGAGTGCCAGCCCCGAGGCAGAAGCAGCTTTAGTGCCCTACTCTGCTGAAGCAGAACCTGTCCATCCTCACGCCCTCTTTCCCTCCTCCAGGCTTTTCTTTTCCCCAAGCTCCTGGATGGTGAGTTCACACGCTTCGAGTTTCCACGGAGGCTGAAGGGAGATGACGTGGGCCAGAAAGTCCTGTACCGGGATTACTTCATGGAGGGCTGGTGAGTCCTTTCTGCCTGAGGATAAGGCTGTGCCTCAGGGAAGCTTTACCTGCTTCTAGGAGTGTGGGAGGTGAGGGGAGAAGGGGCATCTCCTCCTGCTGAAAGCTGGGCTTGATGGTGGTCAAGGGCACTGTGAGCAGCTCCCTCCAACTGAAGGACCAGCACGTTGGCAGGGTGGTGAGAAAACAACTGAGATGGTCCTTCTGGGATCCACTGAGGTGGGGCTATTGCAGGTTGGGGAGATAGGGCAGAGTGAAAAACACGTGGGCATTCAGCAAGAGGTCACCCTCACTGTATCTGCTGCAGGAAGTCACATTGCCCCTTCCTCAGTGAGCTGCCTGTGCATGGGGACACCACAAGGGTTGAATCATCACTGAAATGCTCTGGCTGGGTTATACCATCAAGTGAAACAACAGTGAATTCTCTGTTCCAGGGGATACAAGACGGTGGAGAAAGCTGACCTCAAGTATCCTCTTGTCCATGGTCATGGGAAGCAGGTAGCTTAATGTTTTACACACTGGGAAGGCAGAGGCAGGTCTGCCAGGGGCCCTCAGTGTCCCTGTCACTCATGGTCACACTTCAGGGTGCTATGGCAGGTGGGGCTGCAGAGCACCCAGTGCTCTGGGGCTCTCCAGCATGGCACAGACCCACTGGTTAGTGTAAACCAGAGCCCTCTGGGGCAGTCTGCACCCTGCTCCAGAGTACAGCAGAGCAGACAGCAGCCCTGAGCCAGCCTGCCCTTTCCTCTTCTCCCTTTGCACACAAACACACATTTCAGATGAGAACTTACTTCATCAGCTCCCACTTGGGACTGTCTCCTCTAGCTCTAACTAGTGCCTTTCCCACTTTCCCAGAGAAGGAGCCTGGAGAGGGAAGGAGGCAGGAGAAGCAATGACCGCACACATCCCAGTGTCTGCCTGCTGGGGTAGATCAGAAAGCCCCATCACCTCCCCAGCACTACAGCCCACATGCCACCCCCTTTGCAGAGTCACTGCAAAACCTCCTTTGCCAGGAGAAAGGGATACCCCTCCCCTGCTCCAAACCAACCCACTTTTCTTCCTTGCCACCTCAGATCAAGAGCAGATGCCACCATGGTCTTCATGAGGTCTGTAGCATTGCCCAGAGCACATGTACTAACCCCAGAGCACCATGAGCCAGCAGGAGCCGTCCACATATACAGGCTGTCTCCACACTCACATCATGCCATTGCTTCTGATCACTTCTCCATCTCCAAAGTCTCCAGAGGCTGTTCTGGGTGATGCTTGGAGAAAGATCCTAAAGGCAGCACATAGATCAGTCAGGACAAGCCACGCATCAGCCTTTAAAGGTGCCACATCCTTATGTTTCAATCCTGTTTTGCTTTGTTTCGGGCCAGGCTCGCTTGCTGGGGACTCTGGCTGTCTCTCGAGGGCTGGGGGATCATCAGCTCAAAGTCATCGACACCAACATTGAAGTCAAACCTTTCCTCTCCTGCATTCCCAAGGTCAGTTGCAGCACATGAGAATCATAGGATGGAATTAAAAATGCTGCTTCTCCTCTGTAGCACCTCTTACAGACATGGCAGGTCTTAGCCGTGTCCTTTCTCCATCCCGCTTCTCTCTGGCCATGCTGCCCAGAGAATCCCCAAGACAGAGGAATCTAGAAGCATAGCAGCAAGGGGACATAAAAGATTCAAAGCACCCTGGTCCCACTGTGTCGTCTCTCAGGGGAAGTCTCATCTCCCCAACCCCTGTGTTACAGTGCAGGAATTGTCACGGATTCACTCCTGTGCTTTCCAGGTAAATGTGTTTGACTTTGCTCTGCATGACATTAAGGAAGATGATGTCCTCATCATGGCAACCGATGGCCTTTGGGATGTTCTGTGCAACAGCGAGGTGGCCCACGTGGTCAGGAGCTTCCTTGCAGAAAACAGGACAGATCCTCAAAGGTAACAACACCAGCTTTGTCATTGTTTTCCCCTCCAAAGAGCCTGGTCAGACCTAAAGCAGGCTGAGGTCACTCTGCTTTCCGGTCAGCTCTGGCAAGACCAAGCACTCTGGGACTCTGGAAACTGCCTCCTAATCTTTCCCCATCCTAAAGATATAATGACAAAAGGTGGTATCTTAAAAAACCCTGCTATTTTGACAACATAAAGTCACTTCTCAATGTTGTTCTTAAGCAGAATAGTGCCATGTTAACCCAAACCCTGCATTTTTCCACCCACAGATTTTCAGAACTGGCCAAGTGTTTGGTGTGCAGAGCAAGGGGAATGAAGAGAGGCCACCACTGGATGCTGGATGACAGCCATGAGGCATCCTATGATGACATCTCTGTATTTGTCATTCCACTACACAACAGGGAGGAGGACTGACTGTTAGGATGACATGCAGAATCTCTGTGTTCCCCCACTGTGGTGCCGTTCAGCATCAACCCGAGACTGAGGGATTTCTGCTGTGTGTGTACACTCTGTTCCAGCAAAACCATTTGCAGTGGAACCTGGAAATGCACAGCCAGCACTTAGCAGAGGATGAACAAGAAGATTAGCTCCTTTAAAAACTTGCAAGAGAGCAATGCTGGGCAACAAATCATTCCCTTTCCTGTTGTTGGGCCAAGGATAAATTGCAAAGGGGGCCATGCAAGCTGAAGGGTACTATTTCCAAGATCTCGGCGGTACAGCAACACTCAAATCCATATTTCTACTGAACCCTCTCCCTTTTTAATACTGAACAGTAAGGATCAACTGAGATCCAACCAGTGTGAAAAGCTGGCTTTTAATCAGACTTGAACTGGATGCATAAGCTAAAGCATCTCTCATATGCATTTACTGTAACGTGAGATGTGCTGAAAACCCGGGAGCTGCTGCCAAGCCAGCGCTGGGCACGGCCGTGCCTGCGGCATGGGAACGCTGGAGCAGGAGCCCAGACCTCGAGACAGTTGCCATTTGTAGGCAGCACCACCTCAAAACAGATGATGTTGGCTGGTGAGCTACACACTGGTGTACAGGAGCCTCCTGTGCAAAGAGACCTACGGGCCTTACTGGTACTTAAGAACATTGTACTGGTAACACAACGTACAGATTTCTAACAAACCTTAGTCCACACTTGCTGACACTTTTTCTATTCAGGTCATTTCTGACAGCAAAGCTGGTTTTATAGCAGTAGCACTGATGAGAACTGAAGTGTCTACATATATCAGGTGATTTAGTAGAAGAGCTCCAAGTAAAATAAAACCGGTTTGTTGCAATTTCTCTGCAGTGCTCAATCTCAAGGACTTACACTCATTCCAACAGGAGCTGCAGCACAGCAGACATGCCAGAGCTGTGCCTTAAACTCAGAGGATCTACTTCTCAACCCGTTCATTAGCCAGGCAAATTCAGGTCTGGACAAGCTTCCCCATCTCCCTGAGTCCCCAGTTTTGTTCCCATTATTCATTACACAGGTTCCAAGATTCCCTAGAGCACCAGCCAAACCCCAGCGTGTGTTTAAGTTCCACAGTGATTAAAGTCCAAATAAAAGTACTTTGGGTTTTTTTTTTTCCCACGCATCTTAACTGTGGTGTTATTCCTTTTGGGGGTTTTACACAGACCTGAGCTGGAGAAATGCAGCCTTAGAAAATTGCAGGGGAGTTTTTGCTTTGTATTTCTCTTGGCCAAGAAGCAGTTTGTCACCAGAGGCGTTCCCTTACCAGTTCTGCCCCCAAGGGCTTGGTGTCAAAAGATGATTTCCTACCATGGGAGGAAATTCCCCCCAGGAATGGGGCAGCCTTCTCAGCTACCTGCTCATGGTTTAAGAAAGGACAAAAAACATTTCTCTCCAGCTTCACTTTCCCCCCACCCTCTTAAGTTTAACCTGACAACAATGTACATGGGGGTTTGCCCATGTTAATGACATTGGCTGCTGTCTTCCCTTCAGCAGCTGCTACATTTACATGCACTGACAGCAACAATCCAAGACTCCTGTTAGTCAAATCCAACAAGTTACTTTCTCACCTTCATGCTGAGAAAGGCTCAGCTCTTCCATCCAGACCACAGGCTGCTGCAAACACCCCTCTCCCTATGGCACCATACCTCCAGAAGTAGCTGTCACAAGGCTGCTTCCCTATCCTGATACGTTCCTAGGCAAGAAAAACCTCTTTAAATGAGCAATTTAAGTAAGGATAACTTCAGAGCATCACAATTTCCACTATAGAGTTTCTGACTTTCCAAAACAAAGGGCCTTTTCAAACAATGGATGATTTTCCCAATCCCCCTCTAAAAAACCAACAAGTTGTATCACACTGGACAAATGCAGAATTTAGAGCACTCAAGTGATGTCTCTACAAAATATTTATTGGTCACAGCCACAACACTGAATTCTCCACGTATGTAGTATTTTGTGACAAAGCATAATTTGACTTTATGTATTTACACTCATCTGGGAGATACCACTGAGGAGTCCAACTCCCCGTAGCAGGTCACGACCACAGAGACCAAGTTTCCAAAAGGCTTACCAGGTTCCCAGCCCCTGACTCAAAACCAAGGTGAAGTCTCTTAAAGTGCTAATACAGTCAAGAGGCATTGGAAAAGATATGCTGCTGCTTCCAAATTTGTCACTGAATCACTCCTGTGTTTCCCAGAGCAGATGTTGGGACAATAACCAAGGACCTGGGCGCTTCAATAAAAATCTGTCAAGACTGACTTGGAGAATTACACATGAAATCTCCTACAGCCCAGGCAGATGTGCTCAGCCACCACCACTGCTTATTCAGAAATGGGCTGTTGAGTCTCCCTTCCCCCTTGTTTTGAAGAAAGGTCTTTATTTATCCCAAAGAATATGGACGCATTCACCTTTTAAATGTCAAATTTGAAGGAGGAATGCTGTTTCCTGCTTGTCTTGGTTGGCCACTCCGTTAGACCTGGAAGGGCTGTTTTTCTTGAGGTCTATTTCTCATTAGCTGGCAGCCCTGAGGGGCACACGAATAGCAACCCTGAGACTCCTAGAGAAGCACACAGAAGCTGGAAAGCTGAAAGCTTTATTCACCTTTACCGTCAAACCGTCTAGAAACACATTATCCTTAAGTTCCTTGACAACACTTGGCACATTTCCCTCTTTTAAAGGCAGATGGAAAACACTCAGTGCTACACCAGCAGAGATGTCTCTGCCTGTGTGGGTGGCAATGGGTCCTGGGAAGGCTCAGCTGTAATCCTGAACTGAGCACTAGTGCTGTTGTGCACGAGCCTGTACATCCCTCTCTTCACTCCAGAAAGCCATTGATGTGCTTGTATGTTCTCCTAAATTGCTCCTCCAGTCCCCTTTTCTTAAACGTTTCATGCCACCATTCACTATCTTTCACAACATTGCAAGCAGAAGAGAGCTGAACAAGAGGCTTTAGACAAGTGCTCAAACCACGTTAGCAAAGAGCATCTGTAAAATATAAGACTTTCAAAAGCTTCCCTGTGAAACACAACAAGAAATATGGCCAGAGGCTATCTGTTCACTTCCTCGGGCAACAGACTTGATAAAAACCTCAAAGATCATTAACTACTGAACGCTGAAGTTTAACTGTTAAAATGCACTACAAACCCCAAATACCTGCACATTACAAACCACTGCAAAATACCAACAAAGGTAAAACAGCATCAAGCAGCCTGAAATGCATCACTACTGAGTTGGAGTGGCTGAAGCCTGAGTCAACCATCTCCCTTTGCACTGGGCAGTTGCATTTCATTGGCAGCAGTGGGACAGTATGGGAAGAGGGACACCACGAACCTCTCATCTGCATTTCCAGCAGCAGGCCTGTGTGGCAAGAGGGAAAGCATCCATCCGTTTGCCACAAGACAGCAAACTCACATCACAGACCTGTGGTTAGAAATGCCTCGTGTGGCAGCGTCAGCAGGGACAAGCCACAGCACTGACAGAGGAGGGTCAGCCACAGCAGGGATCCAAGCCCCAAGTTCTGAGCCTCCTGAGGGACTGCTCCTGCCGCTGTCACAGGCTCGGCACACGCTGCTGCTCCGCGAACAGAACCAGCAGTGCAGAAATGCTTAGTGCCCATCCCCAGCTCTCAGCACAGCGTGGTTCCACTGACAAGGACAAAAGGCAAGGAAATGCAAAACACAAGCAGATTCACTTTTCCAGGGAGACATGATGTGAAAGACAGATGGGGCCCCACAGCTGAAAACAAGGAACTTTGCTGTAATGGGGGAACATGAGTACCACTGACCTAAAGAAAAAGTTCAAGCACAGTTCACAGCACAGACCAGCACTCAGGAACAGACACAACATGCCCATTACTGTCTGGCCACCTTGCCAGCATTTCATATTTATGAGCAGGGCAGCACAAGTGACCAGGCAAGGAGAAGAACTGGCTTCCCAAGCTGTGATCCAGCACATAAAACCAAGTGTGTTTGGAAAGGCAAGAATATAGTGAACACCACATTTTTGCCAAGCTTGTCCCAGCCTGCTGGTGGATGCATTCCACCAATGCAGCATTTCAGGAAAAAGAAAGTGGAACCAGGCTAAGAGCAGCTTGCCAGTCTTTCTGTGCCACTCACCCACAAGCCCCTCTGAGGCAGGACAGCAGGTCCCTCCCATCTCTTTGCAGGGGCATTCCTTGGAGCAGGGCCACAGCAAAGCAGGGTCAGCACAGTCATGCCTAAATTCATTTCTTGAAGACAGCATCTGACAAAGGATGCATCACTTTTGAGGGGCTACCACCAGAAACCTTCAGACCTGTAACAAACTGCATGATGGACTAACTGCACGTCAGTTTTACCAACAAAGAGATACAGGTCTAAGCCTGATGTGGCAAGTTTCATGGAGCATATTTACAAACCATGGGGTGGAAAACTGCATCAGTAAAGGTAAACAGCCTAGACACTCCACAATACTGGCCCACATCATATTCTTTTATATCTAAAAGTAAAAAAATATGGCCCATTCCCACTGCCCACCCACCCCACAATATTTACAAGTAAGATCAGCCAAGATGGTACATAAGGAAGATACACAGGCAGACTGTGCTTTCAGTCTCAGTTTGGTTTCTCCGTCTTCCTGCTGACAGACTCCTTTATTGCTTGGGACACTGGCTGGACCTCACCAGTGCTGTCTGTGCCTCCAGGATGCTGGCACAGCAAACAGCAGGGAGGCTTTGGCAACCTCTGGCAGCAGACAAAACCTGTACAGTTGCACTCTAAATCTCCAAAAAAAGGATGACAAGATGTATCAGGTACATTCACAGTCACCCACGCTTCTGGGTGCGTGTTCCACTGCAAGAGAATCCGGCATCTGCTGCTGAAGTTGAAAACTGTCAGTGTTCACATTTGGCACAGAAGTATTTGCATTTGTGGACTGCAGTGAAACCAGAGAGATCCCAGATGTTAAAAACATGCACCTTTGGGAAGGAACTGCATGTTCCACCTTGGAACATCAATAGCCTTGTGCACTTACAGCAGGAAAACACACAATTACAGCTTAAAAAAAAATCCCACAAGCATTCTGTAAATAAAACAGGCTTCACTGCCCCTTAGAAATAATACTAAGTGTCAGTTCCAAGTTGGGCTGAAGCCGTGCTGGACACGGACTGGAAGGTAAGAGCATATATCATGCCACTTCTGAACGTGCCAGGAGGCTGAGTGGAGCTGTCCTCACAAAGGAATGCTGCAAACAAAGGTAAGACATGGAAAATACACAGGAGCAGGAACATAGTCTTGGAGACGTAGGCAATTCCAATGCTATGCTTGCAGTGATGTGCTGCTGTTACAGTGTGGAAGTCATCTGACAGCAGCTGCAGAGGAGGAATTAGTCGTCAATGGTTGGCAACCAGAAGGCCTAAAGAGGAGGAAGGAAAACATCTTGTCAGATCAGAACACAAATCTCTCCTACAACACACTGCAGGAGCCGATCATTGCTACCTTCCATTAGGCAGAGACTACCAAAGAGGCAGCAACACCCTCTCAGCAGTTTAAGGTTACAATCTTTGCTTTGGCTTGCACTGCATATTCTCCAGAGCTGAAAATACCAGCAGTGTGCAGGGACCCAAAGAACTGCTCCTTCTGTGTGCACACTCACTCACTGCTCTGCTCTCATGTGCATGTTCACACACTGGTTAGCCAGGTGTGCCCCACACATCCACCTGCCAGGTACGGCACAGTCAGGGTGTAACAGACAGGCCTGGCTCTCACCAAAGCCTGAGGCAACACCCAGCAGAGGCACTGAGCCTTCTCAGATTCAACTCCAGAAGAGTCAGCACCTCATGGAGCTAAGAGGAACTTAAAAGCATTTCCTTACCATATTGGAACATGCGCTAGCGAAAGTCATGAATTTTGGATTGAACTGCAGACAGGTTATGGGACCTGTGTGTTTCCCATCCAGCACAGCCACCTTCATCCCACTTTCCCCATTCCAAACGTGGATCTTCCCATCCTCTGAGCCTGCAGGCAGGAGAGGAAAACAAGATATGCAAGATACACTGGAGAGGTCAGCAGAGAAAAAGAAGAACATAACCTTTCCTGTCAGAACTGCAGAAACAGGCAGGTCTCAACTTCACAGCCTACC